AATCCAATCCATGACTTCATATTTTTACAATATGTTTTCTTTTATAAAAAAACATTTTAAAAATTGTTTTTTTTTAAACACATTTAAAAATGTGAACTTTTGAATTTTTTATCCGAAACTTAAAAGAATAATAAATTTAAAAAATTAAAGTTAAAAATTTTAATGGTAAATCATATGGTTAAACTTAAACTTTCGGTGTTAAAACCTTCAAGTGAGCTTCAAGTTAGTGTTGTTAGAAAAATTTAACGTATATCATAAAATTCATATATTCTTTTTTCTATTTCTCTCACTCTTCATGTTTTTTTTGTTAGTTACAAACATAAAGTATATTTATCAAAGTTAAATTACATGATTGATAGATAGTTGAAATATCCAATTGAAGGAAGTATAAGAGAAATAGAATTGGCAAGAAATGTTAAACACTCAATGCAATTTCATGTGAAGGCTAAGTAAAAAAAGATTTTATACCCAAAGCAAGATGACCAATAAACTTCTAGCAAGCACAAATCTACAAAATTAAAGCATATTCTCATCAATATTTGAGAGTAAAATAACATAAATTTACAATGTTGCATTAATATAAGTTTTAAGTTTAACAATAACTAGTAACACAATTACTGTGATGATGGAGTCTCATGTACAATAATCAGCAAATAATTTATCATTCCTACACGAGCATCCACAATACAATACAACAAATAATATTTTAATGTATATATAAGGAATCAAAAGATATATTAATCAATCTTGAAGGAACATCAAAATTAAAATAAACTATTGGAAGAAACGAAACCTTCAATGAAGATGAGAATGTATGAAGATATTGGAAAAAAAATCTCCATAGATGAAGAAATCAAGCTTTTGTTGAAAGAATATTTTTGTTAGAAAAAGTAATGCAACTTTTGAATGAATTATTTTGTTAAAAGGGAGTTTGCACATTGTTTTTAGAAAAAAAATGTTTTTACTTTTAATTTTTTTGGATAGATTGAGTATCCATCCAAATGGATATATCCATTGGATATAATGGATAGATTTGAATTAATCCATTATCAACACTATCCATTGGATTATATCCATTTAAATCCATTAGCTCTAATGGATGAATTTAACTTGGATGGATTTTGGATCGATTGTGGATTGTGGATAATTTTACCACTCCTACTTGCAACCAACTAATTTTGATTTCAACTATACTTTTAATGTAGCATTTTATAGATAGACCCTATTATGGGTCATCCATGTTAAAATTCAATATAACAATATACAAGGTATTATTTAATAATCCAATAAATACTTGTAAATATACCATAAAATAAAATAATCTCCATTGATAGTGTAAAGTTTTTACAATTTCAATGTATTATTCATCATTTACGTGTTAATTATAAGTTAGTTCTAGGTGCGCCCCGACACACAAAACTAACTGCCATAAATAAATGAACCAAAACCCCAAATTGCTATTACTAGAGAAAGTATCTTGAAACCACTCATTGGGTCATTTAGAAGCCAAACACCACCAATGCTTGTAATTGGTGTTCTTGCTGCATTAAGTACACCTGCAAGTAAAGTAGAAGCCAAGAAAATAACAGCAGTTCCTCCTAAAACCCCAAACTGAAAAGTGATTGCACTCCATATAAGAACAAGTTCATAAGCAGATTTACCACCTTTGAAAGATTCAGCCTCAGATTTCATTCCTTGAAAACCACCACTTACTATTACCCCTATAGTTGTAAACAAGAATGCAAATAGTGAAACCATTACTTGTTGTTCCAAAACAACAATGAAAGATCTTCTTCCAACCAACTTCACAAAAACAAGTTCTGAGAGTGCAAAAAGAAGGCCATGAAGAGCAGAACCTAAAACATCCCATATTATACCTAAAATGTGTTCTTTTTGACTTATATTTCCATAAGTATCTGAACTTGAATCTAGGGCAATGATGGCCATTGCAGCAGTTATAACAACAATAGCATTCAATATAGAAGCATTAACTTTATTGTTCACAATAAAATACCCAAAGATTGAAGAAAACACAAGGGATGTAGATGCTACAAGTGAAGCAGTAGACACTGGGAGATAAGCATAAGCATAAGCATACATTAGGTTATCTGCAGCTGATAAGAAACCCAAGAAAAGATAAGATAAAAAGAGCATTAAGGTCATAGGAGTAGGTAGGGTTTTCTTAACCAAGTATGTAGGAAGTAATATTAATGCAGTTACTGGCCATCCTGCAACAGAAATCCAAGATATGATCCATTTGCTTTGGCCACCATTAGAGAAGTAAACACGAGAGAGCATGCTTGAAGCTGGAAATGCTACTAGCATTGTTATGACGCTAATAACAAGAAGAATCCAATATGGGGGTGGGTTTTTTTTGTATTTTTCTGTCATGATCGTCTTAAATCTGTGATTCCATGATGAATCTGATACTGTTGGTGGCTTTGGGTCTGGCTCCATTTGTTCTGTCAGTAAAAATGTATCATCAGAAGAACATAATTTTTATTAAGATTGAAGATTAGTAATGGAGAAAGATAGGCACCTTCAAGTTCATTCATGGAATACTAAAAGTTAAAATTTGTAAACCGCATCACCTTATGTACGATCATTTAAATTGTAGACCGCATTACCTTATGCGATCGCAATAAGGTTGCAGTGATCGCTGCAACCGCAATTGCAGTGTCGATCTGAATGATAATGATGTGACTGCATCGGGCCGCAACACAATCACATAAGGAAACATCATATTCAAAAATGTTATTTAATTTTAATAACAAAATAATTCACACTGCAATGGCTACAATCCGTATCGCAATGACCACAATCACAGTAGTCACAACTGTTAATCTAATGGCGACCCTAAACGCAATTTAAAACACTTTATGAATAAAATATATGTTAGTATTATGTATAAAATTACTATTATAACAAATATTAGACAAACACTTTATGAATAAAATATATGTTAGTATTATATATAAAATATTACTATTATAACAAATATTAGACTTAGTAAAAGATATAAAAACATCCTGCTCCAATCAACTTAAACAAACAAAAATCACGACCATATAATTTCAAAGAGGGTATTCAACTCTACACTACACGTAGACTAATAAAAAATATAAAAATTCGGACATATCATCTGTCTCAATCTCTGTTTAATCAAAATGTTATGATGTTATAGGAATAAAATAAAAAATTTAAAAATAAAAAGTAACAAAAGTCAACATTACGATTGATTTAGGTGGGACTGATGATCTTTGTCCTAAAAACTCTTCTATTCCAATCAACTTAAACATAAATAAATAAAGACCATCTAATTCTATAGACATTGTTTGACTCCACATTACACTTATACATGTAATGATGTGAAGGCTCACCTACTCCGATCAAATTAAATATACAAAAATCATGAGCATTTGATCTCATACAAGCCATTTGACTCTACACTATGCTTAGACCCAAAAAATATTTAAAGATTCACCTACTTCAATGAGCTTAAACATAAAAAAGTTATTATCATCTGATTCAACACACAATTCAACTCCATATTACACTTAGAACTATAAGAGATGTAAAGACTAGCATATTCTAATAAACTCAAACATTCACAAATGTGCATTTGATCCAATACATGGCATCCAACTTCACCTATATAAGAAAAGATGTAAAAACTCACGTATTGTAGTCACCTTAAACATACAAAAACCACACACCCATTCAACTGATAATCTTTATTTTTTATGATAATCAATTTGAGGGGATATTAAATGTGAAAAATGCTAAGCACATTTAACATGTGCGCAATTTATGCCTTAGACGTGTATAATGTGTAATCATGTAGAAATGGAAGTAAAAATCCACATATTCAACACTATTCAAAAATTGAGATTTTATGTTCACTTTTCAAAAAGTAAAACAAATAATAATCACAAATATTAACAATAATACTTTTTATATGCAATAGTAATAACAATAGTAGGTAATAATGAAACACATTAAATAGTAAATAAAAAAAAGTAATAAGCTTACCTTATAGGCAAGTAAGATAAACTTTTTACTAAAATTTCACAAATGAACCAGGAAGACAAAATTGAGACCAAATATGAGGTTTTAAGTAAATAAATATTGAAGGGAAGTTATATATTTATGAGATAGGGAGGAATAATCAATTTACTTAGAGAATGTATCTCAACATTAAGATAAGAAATAATAATAGAATTTTGTTATTATTATATTATTCTTGTTATTGTTATCGTTATGATTATTATTACTATTCAATTATACAGTTAAGATATTAATTGATTTTGGAGGATATTATTCCAATAATATAGTTTATCTTATTCTATATGTGTTTGTTTCTTTAAATAATTTTATTATTCTCTCAACTTTATAAAATAATATGAATTAATATTTTATTATTACCATTATTATTAGGGATGACAAAAATATTCATCTAGTAAATACCACTGAAAATACTCACAATCAGTACATGCAAAAATAGCTTATAGGTAAAAACGAGCTAATATTAGACTCTAAAGTACATATATACCTATAAAAGATGTAAAGAGTACATGTCGCAAGCCAGTTACATTTTAACAGGTCAATAAACATGTTATTTTTGTTTTTTTATATGATAATTTTTAATTAGTTGGACAGAAAATTGGGACATAAGATCTTCATTCCTTTAACATTGAACAATTTATGTCTTACACGTGTATAGAGTGTAATCCTATAGAAATGGAAGTAAAGATCAACCGGGGTAATTTAGTTTTTTAGAAGTAATAAAAAGAATAAAATTAAGAAGTTTGGGGTGTAGGATTTAGGGTATATGGTAATTGGGCCTAGGATGACCCATCAATTTTTTACCTAAAGCCCTAAACCTCCTAAGACCTCTACATATATAAGGACTCAACAAAAGAAAAGAAAAGGAAGAGGGGCAGCAGCGGACAGAGGAAGAAAGAAAGAAGGAAAGAAGAAGAAAAAAAAAAAAGAAAGAAGGAAGGGAAGAAAAAAAGAGAAAGGAAAAGAAAGGGAGAAGGAGGAGGAGAAGAGAAGAAGAAGGAGGTAAAGAGAGATCATCATTACACTTCATATTTCTCAAACATCAAGAGGTTCTCCATTTTCTTTTCCCTAAGTTTTAGTTCTTTCTTTGTTTATTCTCTTTGTTGTATAGTTATGTGTTTGTTGTTTCTGAGTTGAATGTAAATATATTTTCATTTACTTATTATTTATTATTGTGAGTGACACCGCCACTGCCGCCGCTACCATGGTTGTCACTGCCACTTTTTCCGGCCAAAAATAATAGTGTGGCCTCATGGCAACCACAACCCAAATTAATTTTACCCTAAAACCCCAAAACAATTTTTAACCTAAAATCCTAAATCTATTTTACTCTAAAACCCTAAATCTCTTTTACTCTAAAAATCCTAAATTTATTATACCCTTAAACCCCAAAATCAATTTTAACCTAAACCCCCAAATCAATTTTAACCTAAACCCCAAATCAATTTTAACCTAAACCCCAAATCAATTTTAACCTAAACCCCAAATCAATTTTACCCTAAAATTCCTAAACCAATACCCATTTTTTTCGTTTTTTTTATTTATTTAATTTATTATTATTATTATATTCTGTTTTTTATTTTATTTTATTATTTTTATGTTTTTTTATTATCATTATTTTTGCTGTTTTTATTTATTTATTTATTTTGTTTTATGTTTTATTACTAATATTTGTATTATAAAAATTAATATGAAAACAACAATAACAATAAAAAAATGCAATTGAATGTTTTAAATAAATCAAGGAGAAATATGCACTATGGGACTCGTTCCCTGTCGCGTTATCTCGAATTGATATTTTTTCTAAACATAAATAAATCAAGGAGAGATATGCACTATGGGACTCGTTCCTTGTCGCGTTATCTCAAATTGATATTTTTTTTCTAAACATAAATAAATCAAGGAGAGATATGCACTATGGGACTCGTTCCCTGTCGCGTTATCTTAAATTGATATTTTTCTAAACATAAATAAATCAACGAGAGATATGCACTACGGGACTCGTTCCCTATCGCGTTATCTCAAATTGACATTTTTTCTAAACATAAATAAATCAAGGAGAGATATGCACTATGGGACTCGTTCCATGTCGCGTTATCTCGAATTGATATTTTTTTTCTAAACATAAATAAATCAACGAGAGATATGCACTATGGGACTCGTTCCCTGTCGCGTTATCTCGAATTGATATTTTTTCTAAACATAAATAAATCAAGGAGAGATATGCACTATGAGACTCGTTCCCTGTCGCGTTATCTCGAATTGATATTTTTTTTCTAAACTTAAATAAATCAAGGAGAGATGGTGCACTATGGGACTCGTTCCCTGTCGCTTTATCTCAATTTGATTATTTTCAATACATAATTTAATAAAGACAAGAGAAGATAATGCACTATGGGACTCGTGCCCTGTCGCGTTACTCGACCTTGTTATTTGTTTTAAAAAAATAAAAATATATATATATCGACCAATCAATTTTTTTCTGAAAGAACTATGTAGCTTTGATTTCTCTATTGCAGCTAGAGATACGTAGGAGCAGGTTTTCCCTGTCAGGCACACAAAAAATAAAAAAATGTTTTTTTGGTATTTCTTTTTTTCTTAATAATGTGAGGGTAAAATTAATGTTTTGAATAAATATTCACATGATTAATCTAGGTACCGTTTTTTTTATAATGGGCGGTATGAGGTGCCTGACACCTTCCTCATCCGTAACCGACTCCCGAACTTAATTTTTCTGTGTGAGCAGACCAAATCCTTTTTATTTAAAAAAAAATTGGTTTTTCATGTTTTCCCTCTAAAAAACATTGATGGCGATTCCATTGCATTTATTTGCACATTTCCCGTCGTACCCATGAAAATGGAGTAGCGACAGAATGGCGACTCCACTGGGGATAGCTGAGAGTCAAGCCTTAAATGATTAATTATGTGGATATTTTATTCATTATTTTAATTTTATCATTTTTTGTTTTTATTTATTTTTGTACTACTCATTTGTATATTTATCTCTTGTATATAGAATTTGTATTTTGTTGTATATGCTGGTTATGGGGTGGTTTATCGGTTTTATGCATGTATTTTCGAGTTTTGTAAACTCCCTCATACACTTCACTATTCATGCATGGTTCTTTCGGCCGTCTACCAGACCTATTTTCCTATTGTTTAGGGATACATTGGCTTGTCGTCATTGGGCCTTCGTGCACATTTCGATATTGCGCTGATGTATCACTCGAATTGTTACTGGATATTTCGGATACGACCCCCATGGTGTCTCGTACATTTTCGTGTCATATTTGTGTATCCGGGTCGTCAACTTCCACTAGTGATGGCAATCCGGGGACCTAGAGGAAGTCTAGTACCACCAAATTATGCATATATGGACCTTAGAACTTCACCTTAGGATGTGACCTTTTGGACCCGAATAAACCTTGTATGATCAAACACCATTGTATAGGACACATGAGTATATATTTTTATATTATTATTTATTTCATATTTTGTCATGAGGCCGGGAAAGCTTCCATCCTGCGATCATAGTGACTCAACATCACATGAGCCTGAGTGGTATTAGGGTACCACTGCACTTGGGTATCCTTATGTCATGATGGAAGATAAAAGAATTATTTCATAATAGCATGCACATGCTATCATGCATTCATAAAAAAATAAGATAAACAAAAAATCATTTCATAATAACAATACACATGCATATCATGCATTTATAAAAAATAAGAAAAAAAAAATCATATCATAATAGCATAATACACATGCATATCATGCAATAAAAAAAAAGAAAAAAAATCATATCATAATAGCATATGCTTGTCATGTCATCATACAAACTAAATGAAAAAAAAAACTTTATTTTATGTATGTTATCTTGCATTCAGAAAAAAAAGTCACATGTCTCATTCACATCATGCATCCATACAAAAATCATTCAACACAATCATTCATCATATAATGCATTCATCAAATCATACATCCATTAGTTACACCTATGCGAAAGGACACATTTTCATTTGTTTTTAGGATATGTGATCAAACGAAGTCTCATTCTATATATCATAAGACCATGAATATTCAAGAGAACAAATGCGATCATATCGTGGAGTCTGCTCTCTTTGTGATTGTCAACAACCACTACACGATCTAGAGGGGTTATAACCCTAGAAAACGGTTATGGGATGGTCAACTTGTTATATTGAAAGTTCTTCGTTTGATAAGGGAAATAGTTTCAGAAAAAATCAAAATAATTTTTTTAAACCAAACTATTTGGTAGTGACAAATTTAAAAGTGGAATCACTACGTGACCTTGGAAAGACAACACTAATCGAACTCGTATGTTCAACACCAGAGCTTGAGCCATAATGAAAGCTAACAAATCACATATTGAGAATTTTGACTCTAAGATAGATGAGGGAATAGGAGAAATGTTATGTCGTTGATCCTTGTTTCTCTCACTATCAATATCTTAGAGGAAAGCAAGTTGTTCATGAATGATGTCACCCATCAAAACGATGATAACGATCCTTTGAAAAATGGTAGTCCGAACTGATAAGTGATGTAGTTGCATAATGGTTATTTGATTATGTTGTAATTCACACGCTTTGAATTTTCTTTGGACTTATTTTTATATTACTTGAGACAATATCTTAGTGAATTTGCATGACTATCTAATGTTTCCTCCTCATTCATCCATTTTATCATATTCGTACTCATTCATTTACTTCTTTCCATGCCAATGTGAATGTTCATATTTCGTGTTCCATCTTTCCTCCCGACATTTCACAAATCAATGTATATCAGAATTTTGTAGAGACTTTGTCCAATTATAGGGTACTTGAAAATATATCAATTGATTATTTTGCGGCACCTGATAATGATTCCTTTGGGTTTGGTGATGGAAAAGATGGTTGAGGAGTAAAGGAGGTGGTAACGAAACAATTGGATTCAGATTTCATAGAAGTGTTTAGACGTAAAAGATGGATGGCTAATATGATATTAGTACCCAAGAAAGGAGGGGAACTGAGAATTTGTGTCGACTACAAAAATTTGAACAAATCAAACCTGAAATATGGTTTTTCCATCAATCACATTGATGTCTTAGTTGATCGTGATGGGAAGAGTCATAAGTTATCATTCATGGATATATATGTTGACACCGTAAAATGTATCGCACCAACATTCGGATCAAGTACTGTGGCAACCTCATTGTCACTAGTATACGAGATGGAAGTCATTTCTCACATTAAAGTAGAAATTTCCTTGTTTAGAGTCTTGACAGAAGCAAAGCTAGAAGAGTTGAAATGGGACAAAGCTAGGTATGAAAAGTTGAACATGACTGAGGAGAAAAGGTTGAAGACCGTTTGTCATAGTCAATTATACCAAGGAAGATTGACTAGACCTTTTGACACGAAGGTTTGTCCCGAAAGATTCGAAGTAGGAAATTTAGTGCTGGAAAAGTTCCTCCCAAATCAGGAAGATGCTAATGGAAAATGGCCCCAAACTATAAAGGTCCCTACATCGTCAAGAATGTATTCTCATGAGGGACCCCGTCCTTGTAAGACATAGGTGAAAATGTTTTACCCAGATCAATGAACACGAACGCGGTGAAGAGATTCAATGCAAAAAAAATTAGAACGCGGCTAATATTAGACTCTAAAGTACATATATACCTATAAAAGATGTAAAGAGTACATGTCGCTAGACCTGTCAAAATGGACCGGGTATAGCGGGCCGGCCCGCCAAGGCCCGAAAAAGTATAGGGCTTGGGTACTAAAATTTGAGTATTTTAGTTAAACCGAGCCACAATAAATTCGGGCTCGGGCCGGGCTTACCCGTTCGGGTTCGGGCCATTGTCTACTCATTTTCTTCCCTCTCATTTGGCTTTTCTTAACTGTGCATTTTACATGATGTAATCGATTATGACATACTCGTAATCGATTACAACATATGAAAAGCATTAGTTTTTGCTGTTTTTTAAACAGTGTAATCGATTACACAATCATGGTAATCGATTACATGCTGATAAACTAATCAGACCTGTGCATTTTACATGATGTAATCGATTACAATATACTCGTAATCGATTACAACACATTAAAAGCATCAGTTTTGCTGTTTTTTAAACAGTGTAATCAATTACACAATCCTGGTAATCGATTACACTGTTTAAAAAACAGCAAAAAATAATGCTTTTAATATATTGTAATCGATTACAATATACTCGTAATCGATTACAACATATTAAAATCATCAGTTTTTTGCATTGGTGTAAATAATAAAATAATCCGGGCCGGCCCGCCGCAGCCCGCTTTGGGAGGGTTTGGGCCTCATTTTTAGCAACATAAAATATAACCGGGCTTTTTAGCCCAGCCCATTTTAGCCCGAATCAAAAGCGGGCTAGCCCGAACCCGTCCGGGTAGCCCGTTTTAACAGGTATACATGTCGCAAGCCAGTTACATTTTAACAGGTCGATAAACATGTTATTTTTGTTTTTTATATGATAATTTTTAATTAGTTGGACAGAAAATTGGGACATAAGATCTTCATTCCTTTAACATTGAGGTTTTATCTTGATTTGTCAAAAATTAACATATTAACAAATAATAGTATAATACTCATAATAATAATACTTTTTATGTGGAATAGTAGTAATAGTAGTAGTTAATAAAGAAACATATTAAACAATAAATAAAAAATGAATAAGCTTACCTTGTAGACAAGTAAGAAAATCCTTATACTAAAACCGCACCAACCAGTAAGACCAAATATGAGATTTTTCTTATGTGAATAAATATTGAAGGAAGTTATATATTTATGAGGTGGGGAGGAAAACTTGATTTCTACGATGTGGGACTTTAGCAAAATGAGAAATGTAGCAATGTGACACATAATATGTGAATCGATAAATGCAACTTTTTCTTGGTTTTTCTACTCGTCTTCTATGTGTGTTAACAATGTCTATAAGCTTATAATCGAAAAACTAATTGCTTGGCTGAAATGGCTTTTAACTTCACCAACAATTTTTTTTTTTAGAAAACAAGCTGAAGCAATTCATCAACTAGCATAAAACTCATGATAGGGAGAATGATGAGAATGAGAAAGACTCGTGTGAGACGTAGGTATGTAGAGATAACTAATAAAGTTTTGACAACACGTTAATAATTTAATTCTAATTAAAATTTAGTCATAAATGATATAAAAAAAACATAAACATATTTATCTTCAAATATGACGTGTTGTATATGTCTCAATACATGTTTTTATCTATTCGGGCTAAAATCATTATGATAAGATAGTGATATCTGGATTTGTTGTTGTATGGGTTAATACAAGTTTGATAGAATTTGGTGCAAGTGTTTAAGGATGTTTATGTTTCTATATTTATGGGGTAAAGTTGTGTTAGTATCCACTATATGTTTTGATAGGTTGCAATAAGAACCAATGTTTCACTAAAGATTTTGCATAGTTGAACCGTTTCTATGATAATGAGTTTCTCATATCACTATTTGAAATATTCTTACATTCCACCACTATAAAAGAACCTATTAGTCATGATCAATTTATATTATACATAAGCTTTTATTAAAATGTGGCAACATTAACTTAATCATTTTAATTTAATTTGCCATAATTATATCCGTCTCTAATTTGTTGATTATGCTTCACTAATATTTGTGAAAAATGGGTTTAGATTTAGCCACGATTTCACCCATAACTAATTTGTGTATTATGTTTCACTAAAGTCCATTGGGTATATAGATAGATAAGCGTGAAGATAATGATGATGAAGATGAATTTTGTAACAAAAAGAATTAAGGTTCATTTGGATTTTATACTGGTTTATAAGTTTCATAAAATGGAAAAGTATTATGTGTAAAATGTGTACATAAGTACATAACATACAAGTATTCTTAAATGTGAGTAGTATGTATGAAATTACTATCATAATTCGTCATTGACTTATAGTGACATAGGTAAAATGATCATACTCCAATTAACTTTAACATACAAAAATCATTTTAATCCGATTCCACTTTTAACATAAAAGATATAAAAAATCATCTTATCCAATCAACTTAAACATACAAATATAATGATCATCTGATTTCACATAACTTGTTTGACTTCAGAGTACACTTATATCCATAAACATGTAAAGACTCACCTACTCTAATTAACTTAAATATACAAAAATCACAAGCATATGATTCAATACAAGCCATCCGACTCTAAATAATGCTTTGACCTATAAAATGTGTTGAGACTTGCCTACTTCAATCAGCTTAAACATATAAAAATTGGGTTGTGATCCTCTCCAATACTGGATAATCCAGTACAAAATCTTCACCTACTCTAATCAGCTTAAACATGTAAGTTTTAGTTATTGAAATCATATGTAAATGGATCTTTAGAATTTATAGCTTTCACATAATAAGAATGGTTATTGATTACCTCTATCCATGATATGTGTATTATTTTGTTTAATTTTTAGAAATATTTTTATAAAAAATGATTAAATAGAACACATGTGATATTAAAATGATTTTAATAGCCGGAGGAGATAACATATCTCCTTATACTAGGAAATACTTTATTCTATAAAATAAAATAAAAAAATCATTGATATTTCAATTTCTATTAATATAGAATTATTAAAAAGAGTACGATTAATATAGAAAAGTTAAAAAATATAAAGAATCTTTTTTTGATATAAAATGAATATATCCGTATATATTGGACTTCAATTTCTAAATAAAATATTAAAGGAAAATTATGTATTTATGAGGTGGTGAGAGATCCACTTACTCTAAGAGTAAGTTTAAAACACTTACTCTACATCATAGCTATCAATTTTTGGGAAATCCAATGGTTTGAATTAGTGAGTAGATCTAAACCATTAAATTTTCTAGAATTGATGATTATGATGTAGAGTAAATTTAAAAAAACTTACTATTAGAATAAGTGGATCTCTCCCCTTATGAAATAGATGGGGAGGAAAATTTGATTTCTACGTGGGATTTTAGCAAAATGAGAAATGTAGCAATGTGACACATTATATGTGAACCGAAAAATGCAACTTTAATTTTTCTCTGTTTTTCTACCCGTCTACTATGTGCATTAAGTATTAACTATGTCTACAAGCTGATATTCCAAAAACTAATTACTTCGCTGAAATGGCTTTTAACGGAAAATTAGTTTAACTTTTAATTACAACTTTTTGGTTTATTTAGACTAGCGTGTTAACAGGCACTGCTGTGCCCGTCAATCCGCTTTCATATTGTTTGTAATGTATATTTTATATGCAATAAATAAATTGTGTTAGATATTATAATTTGCAATTGAATATATTCTATTGAGGTAATTGTTCAATCTAAATGAATTAATTGAATGTGAAGAATATGAGGAGAAAAATGATAGAGAGAACATGAGAGAAGCAGTTTAAGAGTTATGGACATAGGTTAACATGAGAGTTAAATTGAAATTAGAAAATTATATCATTGAGATATATGATTTTTTGGTATAAATTAGAAGATAGTGAACGCAAAATATGAAAACATTAATTATACTATGGTGGAGTAGTTATTTTAGGTTTTGGTTTTATTAATAGTATAAATATAGAATATATATGATTTTTTGGTAGAAATTAGAAGATAGTAAGGGCAAAATAGGAAAACAAAAATTATACCATGATGGAGTAGTTATTTTAGGTTTTGACTTTATTAATAGTATAGATATATGATTTTTTTGGTAGAAATTAGAAGATAGTAAGGGCAAAATAGGAACACAAAAATTATATGATGGTGGAGTAGTTATTTTAGGTTTTCGCTTTATTGATAGTATAGATAAAATCGTGACTAATATACACGAGTTTGTTACTTTCTTAAAGTGGATACTGTCAACGATTTTAATTTTTTTTATATAATTTTTTGAAGTCACGTGCCTTAAATACGATTTTCATTGTATATTAATCATAAATTTACTCATTGGTATGGTGGTTATTGTTTTACATGGTGAGATTCAAGGTTCAACACTCAATTATTTATTTATTTTTATAGCTTTGACATGTATTATTTGTACAAGATTGCATTATATACTCATTACTGAATTTTATTCATTTCTATTTTAGATTGTATATTCGTTATTTCATTTTTTGTTTATTTTGATGTACAACTACTTTTCTATTGAATGAATTGTAATTTTGTATGTTAAAAAATGAAAAGGATAAACTATCGTGTTCAAATATTGCCTTGATCCATGTGGAAAAACTGTCGTGTTCAAATGGAAAAACTGTAAAAGTTACATAAACAAGCATGAAACATAAAATGATGAAATATGTTATATGGTTTTTTGGTAGAAAATATAGATTAGTAAGGGCAAAATGGGAAACAAAAATTACACTATCATGAGTGATTATTTTGTATTTTCCCTTTATATTAGTAATAAAAGACACTCAAAATAAAAAAATTAAAAAATAATGAATATACATATTAAATGTGAAAATTGCGAGGCACGTCTAACATGCGCACATTTTATGTCTTACATGTGTATCTATATCTACACAATATATAAAACCAAAACATATTTATAACTACATAAATAGTGTAATTTTATGTTGTCTATTTTGCCATTCTAATAAATTATTATTACAATATTTTCTCACATAATAAAAGATATTTTATTGGAACTTATAGGAAATTGCATACACAAAAATATCAAATGGATCACCGATCCAATTTTTAATATAAGTTTATTAATATTAAATTCATTTTCATATTTTTCGATTACATAAGTTATAATATTATGTAAATTCAATGCAAAAAATGTAATATAATTCTCTAAAATAAAATATATAAAAATCAAATATTCATTAATAGAAAATAATAATGCAGGTCTGGCTGGTCGGCAGTCACGAAGTACATATCGACACGCTAGTGTGTAATCTTATAAAGATGGAAGTAAAGATCCACATTAAAAAATAGTAATAATAATAATATTTAATACTTTAAATGCAATAGAAGTAGTTAATAAGGAAACACGTTAAATAATAAACAAAAATGAATAAACTTATATAGAAAAGTAAGAATTTTTTTTAGTAAAACCATGCTAACCAACAAAAAAAAGTAATTTTTTACAATTTGGTCAGTTAAACTTTTAAATGTTTTTGTATGCGTTAATACAAATTTTTTATTTTTTATACTCCTATTTTTAATTGTTACTAGTAGGATATACATACATGCACACATGTGGTAGTGTTTTTCAAATGATTTATTTAAGTTTGACGAAATTAAATAGATAAATCAACTAATTATGTAGTTATTCACATTTTGTAACCGGACAATTTAGACTTTAAAGTATTTTCAAAGCTCAATTAAGTATGTAGTTATTGTTGACATTTTAGATTTTTATGGTAATTTCAATTTTTTTACTAAAAAATAAAGAAAATATTATTATAGTTTTTATTAAAAAGTAAAGAAAATATTATTAACCTTGAAATTATAACTAACACAATTTATAAATTTTAATATATTGGTGATTTTAAATTTCCCCTATCAATTCTAAAAGTGATGAGTTGCAATAATGGTTAATTCAAATATTAATACAATTTCAATAAATTTTATTTTTGATTCCTTAATTTTAGGCAATACCTAATATAAATTTCTACTCATTTATTGTTTAATTATAAAATAAGTAATAAGAAATATGTATAACTCATAATAAATATGTATTCCTTAATTTTAAAAAGAATAAGAGATATGTATAACTCATAATAATTATGTAGTCCATAATATTGTTGTATGAAAATAGTAAAAATGAGAAAAAAAAACAAATATCAAAATTTTCAATTTGAATAGTAATTTCAATTTTTTATTAAAAAGTAAAGAAAATATATTTTTTTATTTTCACATCTGCAGTTATTGAACATTCCAATTCCAATGGTGTAATAATATAATTTCATAATATTAAAATTTAAAAAATAGAACTATAACCTTGAAATTATAACCAACACAATTTATAAATTTTAGTATATGTGTGATTTCAAATGCGGTCCAAATGCGGTCCGATGCGGTTACGTTGCAGCCCGATGCGGTCACATTATTGTGAATTGGAGTCACACCGCAATTGTGATGTAATGCGGTTGCAACGGTCACCACAATCGCAATATTGCGGCCGCATTACGTGATGTAGAATGCAATTTTAAACCATGCTTCTAACTTAGTAACTTCTAACCCCAAACACTAAACCATCTTATCATAAGGTAATCCTATTTTTTCTGTTTCTTTCTACCTCCTTTGCAGACTATTATGTATGCTGTCATGTTCTGTTTCCCTTTGTTAATGCAAATGGATCTTCCTATTCCTGTTTATTATGATTCTTATGCTTGTCCCTTGGCATTTCAAAGATGTCATCTGAGTAATGCTTGGGAGCACCTATGAGCACTGTTAAAGAAATAAGAACAATATTCTTATCCTTTGTTCTTCTTTTTTTGGAATGTAATTATTGTAGTTTTAAAAATGTAGTACTTATGACTGATATAAATCATATGCTGATTGGTGGAAGTGTATAAATCTTAAGAAAGTTTAATTAAGTAGCATACAATAGCTTAATTTCAATTTTCTGACTGAATGAATCTTTAGATATATATATAATTTTTCTTATTTAAATGTAATCATGTACACAACTCTTCTACTTTACATGTTGCAAACATTTGAAGGTGGATGAGTGTGTATTAGAATAAGATGGCACTTGTTCATTATAAATTGC